CGTGCTGTTTTTTTTTGCTCACATTTTTAGATGTCTTTGGGCCGGTCACATGATGCGCTGGGTCCACTTCCTGTTTGGCTCTTCTCCTGGCGATGAGCGGCCCTTGGTGATTGGCACTGATAGGGTGATGTAGCGCTGCATGGACGCCCCTCTCAGCTCCATGACGCCCCACGCTCAAGTTGTCATGCTGGGGGGTCATCCAACCCGGCAGACCGAGGACATCTTGTGGCGGAGAAGAGGTACTGCGGGGGAGCAGCGCAGGAGAGGAGGTGAGTATTGCAGCCGATGATTTTTTGTTTTTTTACATTAATACTATTGTGGAGCCAAAATATAGGAATACCCAAAATAACATATTTAAAGCCTAAGTCCAGCCAAAATATATTTTTAGTTTCTGTTCGGGTGGGAGGAGGTTTGTAACTCCTTTCATGCAACCAATCAGCTTCTCTCTTTCATTTTCAAAGCTTAACTGAACAAACTGAAGAGAGAAGCTGATTGGTTGCCACGGGCAACTGCTCCACATTCCGTCTGTTTCAGTTTTGATAGATTCCCCTCAATGTTTTATACGTTTTTACAGAAAAAGAATAAAAAAATAATGAACAATACACAACCATACCTCTTCCAACGGGTACGTCGAGATACATGGCCGTGTTACCATAGCGATTCCGCCGCTGGCGAGCCGTGAGGGTCGCAGAGATACGGCGGCCATTTTACCTCATGAGCGTCGCAGAATCTCGGTTATGTCGCCCCGGCCTTATCGTCCCACCGTGAACATGGATCAGAAATTGGAGGGAAGAAAGATTCCACGGCACTAGGGGACAAAATGGCTCCAGTATGACGGAAACGTCCCCGGCCAAAAATAATAATTTACATTAAATTCAAGTTAAAATTAGAGAATCTTCCAGAGAAGCGGGGTAGTTCTGCAGCCCGAGGGGACAAAATGACTGACATTTTCATCCTCAAGATGGAAATCTACTCAAATTACATTAAAATCAAATAAATTGGTCACGCTGAAACTTGGAGTCCCGCTGCATGAAGCCTGGGAGAAAATTTAGGTGGCCATAGCCATTTTTCACCTCATATGACAAATGGCCATAGCCTCAGGCCTGACCTCAGCACGCCAGCTGTGGTGAGACTACAAGTCCCAATTATCAATTGAAGTCTATGTTAGGCCTTGTGGTAAAAATCAAGACCAAATGACATAATGGCGGCCTTCTTCACCCTTCATAAGTCAATTTACATTACATTGAAATCAAATGAGCTGGAGATTTCTGCAACTTGTAGTCCCACGAAGCCAGGGGAAAATACACAGGCAGTTGTCGCTATTGTTTGGCCTGAAGAGAAAAAAAAATGGCCGACCGCTCCGGCCTGAAAGAACACATCCTGCAATACCTAATGAACCTCCTTTTATATTAAGTATTAAAAATACTCACTGGCCATGGTGAGACTTGTAGTCCTACCACATGAAAGCGAAAAAATGGCTGCCAGCTAGCACCTTCCCGACAGAATCTTTCCCAGCAAAAAACACCCCATGACACCCCATTACACTAAACTCCAGTCACCCTGACAGGGGTTGGTGGTAGCACCTCATTGGTTCTTTTGTTGGGGGGTCATTTCAGGACAAAATGGCTGCCAGCTTTACTTTAATGACAACTTATGTCAGGCATGAGATCATTTTTTATATTGAAAAAGTAACTGAGCTGGGCAAGCTGAGCCTTGTAGTCCCACCACTGAGGGGGGGGGGAAACAGACACAGGACCATCTTTCAGCCTGCCTGGTGTAATAATAGGGGGATGGGCAGCAGGTCCCCTGACAAATGGCTGTGTGGAGAGATTGCAGGAAGGTGACAATGAGCCATGTTTGTACAGGAAGAGCCTCCTCCGTTACCTTGGAGACAGCAGGAGCCGCCCTGACTCTCTTGTGTTCTGGTCTCCATGGTAACAATGACAGACGCCTCTGCCTGCAGCCGCCTGAACACACCGGAGGGGAGCACGCCGAGCTCCGCACTCTGACCCCCCACCATGAACATTGTCCTGTCCAGGTGAGACAGACGCTGCAGAGCATTGCACAGGACTGATCCGGGGGGCGGTATCAGGGTGCTCTGCAGAGTATTGCACAGATAACTTCTTATAGAGACTTTACAGAGTATTGCACAGGACTGAAGGGGGGGTCGGGTTTCACTTTTTAGAAAACTTTGCAGAGCATTGCACAGGACTGATCCAGGAGGGATGGTAACGCTGAGCAGAGAAATCTGCAGAGCATTGCACAGGACTGATCCAGGAGGGGTGGTATCGCTGAGCAGAGAAATCTGCAGAGCATTGCACAGGACTGATCCTGGGGGCTGGTATCAGTGATCAGAGAGCTCTGCAGAGTATTGCACAGGAAGGGGGGGGGCTGCATCAGGGTACTCTGCAGAGTATTGCACAGATAACTTTCTATAGGGACTGGTTTCACTGGTCAGAAATCTTTGCAGAGTATTGCACAGGACTGATCGGGGGTGGTGGTGGGGGGGTGTTCTGGTATCACTGATCAGAGAACTCTGCAGAGCATTGCACAGGACTGATCTGGGGGGCTGGTATTAGGGGATTATGCAGAGTATTGCACAGATACTTTAGGGGGCTGGTATCACTTATCTGAGAACGCTGCAGAGCATTGCACAGGACTGATTCTGGGGGGGTTGGTACCAGGGAACTCTGCAGAGTATTGAACAGATAACTTCCCTTAGGGGCTGTGATCACTGATTTAAGGACTCTGCAGAGTATTGCACATGATGTATCCTAGGGACTGGTATCAGGGAACAATGCAGAGTATTACACATAATATTTCTTAAATTAAAGCAGAACTCTGCAGAATATTGCATTGCACAGGACCTATTCCCAGGGGCTGGTATCAGGAAACTCTGCAGAGTATTGCACACATAACTTCCCTGACATCACTGGTCAGGGAATTATGCAGAGTATTACACAGATAACTTTCTTTAGGGGTTAGTATTACTGATTGAAGAACTCTGCAGATTATTGCACGCAGCTGGCCCTTGGAGACGGGTATCACTGCTCAGGAAATGTGCAGAGTATTGCTTTTACAACAATTTGCAGACTATTGCACACAGAACTGCCTGTAATTGGCAGAGAACTTTCTGCAGACTATTGTCCGTACAGCTGCCTGCTGTGCAATGATATCAGAGCTCATAGAAATGTCTGCAGAGTATTGCACACAGTGTTCTGAGCTGATATCATACATGCTGCAGAGCATTCCACACATACCAGTCTGTAGGGGACAGAAATGACCACTGCAGAGTCTTACACCCCGAGCCATCTGTACAGGGCTTTCTGCAGAGTATTGCACTGATAACCTTCTATGGGGGCCGTATTGACCTTTGATGCCATTCTGTGTACAGGGGACTGCAGTGACTTGTGAGGGAACCCCTGCAGAATATTGCACCATGTCCTGTCTGTAAGTCTGTGAAGTAATCAGTCTCAGGAATGTCTGCAGAGTATTGCACACGGATGGAGCTGATATGACTGCAGACAGACTATAGAATGCTCTGCATCGTCCTGCACCCAGAATTGGGATTAGGGAACTGGGATTGGCCTCTGCAGAACATCGCATGTAGAATCATCCGTAGACCTTTGGCAAGACTTGGAGCGCTCTGATTGGGCGAGATGTGCTGCAGATGAGATGTAGATGGCTCCGCAGAATATTGCACTCTAAATGTTATCACGAAACACCCTGCAGGACATTTTCGGAACTTCCTGTACGAGGTCACGCCTTACGGAATGTTCCGCAATATTCTGCTCCCATCGCCATCTGATTGGTCATGAAGATTGATTTCTTCAAAGTGTATCTAAAGCCAAAACGTTTTGCAGTTTGGATGGCGCGGGGGAGGGTCAGAGTTCATGTCAGGGATTTTGTGTCTCTTTGGGGAGATTTTCCTTCACTTCCTGTCTCGTAGACACAGCAGGAAGTGAGAGGAATTCTCTCAAGTGGGAAAATCTCATCACTAGATCAGAGCCGTTTTTTCTTCTTCCTGTGTCTTTTTGGGGAGATTATCCTTCACTTCTTGTACATGACACAACAGGAAGTGAGAGGACATCTCTCTAAAGTGGGGAAGCCCCCTCACCACATCAAAGCCCTGTTTTTTTCCTTCCTGTGTCTCTTTGATGAGATTTCACTTCCTGTCCCATAGACGCAACAGGAAGTGAGAGGAATTCTCTCCAAAGTGGTGCACTCTCCTAATCAGATCAGAGCCCTGGTTTTTTTTTCTTCCTGTGTCTTCTTGGGGAGATTTCCCTTCACTTCCTGTCCCATAGACACAACAGGAAGTGAGAGGAATTCTCTCCAAAGTGGTGCACTCTCCTAATCAGATCAGAGCCCTGGTTTTTTTTTTCTTCCTGTGTCTTCTTGGCGAGATTTCCCTTCACTTCCTGTCCCATAGACACAACAGGAAGTGAGAGGAATTCTCTCCAAAGTGGGGCACTCTCTTAATCAGATCAGAGCCATGGTTTTTTCATCCTGTGTCTCTTTGGAGAGATATCCCTACACTTCCTGTCACATGAAGTAAAAGGAAATCTCTCCAGAGTGGGGAAATCCCCCCATCAGATCAGAGCCCTGTGTGGTTTTTTTTCCTGTGTCTCTTTGGGGAGATTCCCCTGCACTTCCTGTCCCGTAGTCATAACAGGAAGTGAGAGGAAATCTCTCAAAAGTGGGCAAATCCCCAGTGAAAGTAATCTCCTCATTAGATCAGAACCCTGTGTGTGTGCGTTTCCCTTCCTGTGTCTCTTTTGGGGAGATTTTCCTTCACTTCCTGACCTGGAAATAGAAAGGGAATTAAAATCTCTCCAAAGTGAATGGAGTTCTCCTCTTAGTTGTCACCAGGACAGGTGTCCCCATTCAAAGATTTCCCCTCTATTCCTGTTCTAAGTGACAACTCTCAAGTTTTGGCTTTCCGATCACTTTCTGTTCCATTGATAACAGTCATCAGGAAACAATGTTGAAGATTGAAGATACAATGTATATGTTTTCCATCAGGGGGGGGGGAAGCTGGTGGGATGGTTCCTGATCATGTGACCACTGGGACGGTTCCTGATCATGTGACCACTGGGACGGTTCCTGATCAAGTGACCACTGGGAGAGCCTATCACAGCGATTTACATGACCAGGAAGCCCGCCCCCTGTCATTCAGAACCTCTTAAAGGGCCGGCAGGTGACATGCCAAGTGGTTAATACATGTGAAATGTTTTGTTGATTGTTTCCTGCGCTGTCAGACGGCGATTTCCAATTCGATGCCATAATCTTTGCACCCGTCCTAACCCCCGACCCTCCCCGCAGAGATGCCCAGGTCAAGCTCATGGAGAACACCGTCGCCAACGCCGAGAAGTACTTCGGCCAGTTCTGCTCCGTCATGGCCTCCTACACCCGGAAGACGGCCAAGCTGCGGGACAAGGCGGACGAGCTGGTCAAGCAGCTGATGGATTTCGCCAACACGGAGAACCCGGAGCTGCGGACGGCCCTGAAGAACATGGCGGAGGAGATGGCCAAGATCCAGGACTACCGGCACGCACAGGTGACCCCCCTTCTCACTTCCTCAGCTCCTGGTAGTGGAATGTTCCCCCCCGGCTGCCCGGCAGGTGTGAAAACCCCCGCTGTGCCAGGGGAACGTTGTGTCGGTTCTTTGGTTAAGGGTGCAGTATTCCGATAAGCAGTGAATGTGACATTCACCAAATATTCCCTACAGGTGAATCTGCAATTATAGGTATGACCGCCCACCCTGCTTTGTAAATAGATTGCAGGCCGCGGCACGACCTGTATTGAAGTTGCCGTGTAGCTGGCTGCGTGGAGAGAGAGTTCACTGGTGAATCCCACTGCATTGTGTGTGATGGCTGGTTGGTGTCAAGTGCCGCAGCTTATTAAAGGAGAACTATGAGGGGGGGGAGGGGGGGGTGCTTTTCACTCACCTCATAGTTCTAGCTGACCTGTGACAATCTCAGTATACCGCGAGCTGTAGCTCCCTATATACTGAGCCTTGGGTGACGGGAGGACGCTAGTTTGTGTCCTCCCGTTACCCTAAGGAGAACTATGGGGAAAACACTGACCCCATAGTTCTCCTTTAAAGACAGGCTGGAAGTTTTTTTGCTCTGTGAATGAACAACTGTGTTTTTAATAAAATGTATATACTGTATATCTATATATTTATGTATTTTTTATATAAAATCCAGTTTTCACCCTTTTACTGCTTGCTGTTGATCTCCTCCAGCCTCTTTCAGCCACTTCCTGTCTACATGCGCCCCCTCCAGCGTCTAGTGCACATCATCGCTCTGGACTGGCTTTCTGATAGTGACAACTGTGGACCATGTCCGAGCAATGTTTGTCAGCATGACCGCTTGTAGTCACCGCCTGGGGAGTGTGCGACAGGGTGGCAACGCAGTAAAACAATTAAGAGAGGGGGACACAGCATTGTAACAGGAAATGTCTGAACAAGGACAGAGCGTTGTCACCCTATATCAGGAAGTGTCTGAACAAGGACAGAGCATTGTCACCCTATAACAGGAAGTGCCTGAACAAGGACAGAGCATTGTCACCATATAACAGGAAGTGCCTGAACAATGACAGAGCATTGTCACCCTATAACAGGAAGTGCCTGAACAAGGACAGAGCATTGTCGCCCTATAACAGGAAGTGTCTGAACAGTGACAGAGCATTGTAACCCTATAACAGGAAGTGCCTGAAGAAGGACAGAGCATTGCCACTCTCTAACAGGAAGTGCCTGAAGAAGGACAGAGCATTGCCACTCTCTAACAGGAAGTGTCTGAACAAGGACAGAGCGTTGTCACCCTATAACAGGATGTGCCTGAACAAGGACGGAGTGTTGTCCTGCCTACAGCAGACTGATGACATCATCTCAGCCTAGGTTGGGCCCTATTTGCATCCCCCCTTCCTCCTAACGTGCCCAAGGCAGCTGCCTCCTCTGCCAACCCCTCAGCCCGGTCCTGCTGACAGGACTGTCTTAGCCATCCGAAATACACTAAAAGCTTCCCTCGGGGGAGGGGAATGGATTGTCCCTCAGGATTGGGCGTCGGGGGGGCTGTTTGTAGGAAGTATGGACGCCGGCACTCCAGTTACAATACAGATGCGTCTGTCTATTGATGAGAATGCAGCATAATCAGACTCAGTGCAACGTCTCGGGGGTCTTGTGACCCCCCTCCCCCCCATACATGTGACCGTCGATCTGGCTGTAAGTGACCATTTTATTTGGGACGTGTTGTCGTCTCCGCTCCGCGCCCTTCATGCATCGCCGATCCGCCATTCGTCATTGCCATGCGGAATTAGCAGGAGAAAGGATCTCTCTGCGGCGGCGTTATTGTATTATCCCTCATATCCGCGGAAAGGCTGGCGGCCGACGGCGGCCATTTGTTTTCATTATGGGCTGGGAAAGCTATCGCGCCACATTACCGGGTGATGCATGGCGCCGCCCGGCACTTTGTCATGGCGGAATAAGCTTCCCGCGGCACATTATGCAGGATGAGTCGCGCTGACCTTTCCCCGCTCTTTGCACACAAGTATAGAGCCGGTAATAGA